GAGAAAAAAAGGAAAGAACAAAGACAGCGATGAGTTAAAATTTTTGTTGTTCTATTAAAATTGTGTTCGGTTTGTTGGTATCAACTAATTTTACAGATGCAGGTTTTAGTACCAAAATTGTAAATTACGAGAGTTGGAAAGGAAGCGAAGAGAATGGGGAAATTTAAGATAGCAGACTTAAGTATCAGTCTAATTTTTTTTCTGTTTAATAGTTCATAAAGCAAAATCAATTAAGCATATTGTAATTTAAATGAGGTTTTATAAACAAAGAAAAAAATTCGATTTTTTAAAAACTCTAATGACTGTCTGATCAGTTATTTTAGAAAAGCAAAAAATTTACTGTTGGCATTGTAACTGTCTGTTTAACTGTTAAAAAGTCAAATCTTTGAAAAACAAAAAAAAAGGTCTTAAATTATTGACCAAAGAAAAACGAAAAGCACATTTAAATGCTATATTGAAATTGTTAAACAACAGATCTATTTGATCGCCTTTTTTGCATCGTACCTCTGATTTTTTTGCTTCAACATAATAAAAAAGATAGACGAAAAAAGTGCTTTGTTTAAGTAATCTCTTTTTTTTTTTTTTTTTTTTTACAGATATTAGCTGTACAGTTTGAAACGTTGGAAAATTGTCGTTGTCTTGTTTGTCGTCTATCAAAACTTAAAAATGGTTCTGTCAAAGTTTGCAACGTCTTTTTTTTTTTTTGATTCTCTTCAGTCTTATAAATGTTACAAAAACGGAGTGTTCGTTTTGTTACAGTCATTGCTTTTTAAAATCAAAAAAAAAGAGAACAGTTTCCCTAATCTGTTTAGCTTCTACTGCACTTAAAGAAAAAAAGTGAAATTTTTTTTTAGCTTTATTAACCTTAAAACTTACATCTGTTTACTCTTTACTTGTTACTTATTCAATTACCCAAGTGTTCTACAAGGTTTAAGAGTACCGAACAGTTACGAACTATTGCTAAGCATTAACACGTTACGTAACCGGTTTAAGAACTGGCATATTACTTTTGGATGTTAGTTCCAAATTATTGCATCCGTACACTTCTCTTGCTCAGAAAAAACCCAGCAAATTAAATTTAAAGATCTGTTAAGCGAAAAGGACTTTTTTTTTTTTTTT